CTTGCCTGGCTCGACCAGTTATCTACTCAATATCTAAAGAGCTATCAGATATGGTAGCGAATACCCTATTCTCATATGCCGCCAGACAAGGACGTACACCGCTAACAACATACCTATAGGCACCATCGCCAAGTGATAATGTCCAATGAATCTGTCTTCCCTACCTTACCTGAGGGAGAACTGGAGTTTCTAGCGAAGATGTTTGCTCTAGACTCCAAGAACTATCATGTTTGGACATACAGACACTGGCTTCTGCGGCATTTCAAGCTGTGGGACTCCCCTGCTGAGTTGGCGGATATAGAAAGAATGATTGACGAGGATGTGATGAACAATTCCGCCTGGAACCATCGGTGGATCATGCGATTTGCGCCGCGGGAGGGATTTGACAGCGGACTGCCTGGGGTGGGAATCCCAGGCGGTGTTGGTGGCGCCGGTGCAGGCAAGATGGTCGTCGTGGACGAGGAAATGGTTGACGGGGAGGTTGAGTATGTAAAGAAGAAGATTGTACTGGCTCCTGAGAACCGAAGCCCATGGGCGTATCTGCGAGGTGTGCTTAAGGCTGCGGGCAGAGGCTTGGCGGATCTCAAGGGGTTTGCAGAGCGGTTTGTCGTTAAAGAAGTCGTTGAGGAGGGTCAGGGTGAGTTCTTGGTCAAGAGCAGCCATGCGTTGGAGTGGCTGGGCGACATATACGCCGAGCAGGCGCATGAGGCTGAGGCAAAGAACAGCGCGGTGCAGATGTTTACGCTATTGAAGGATAAATATGATCCAATCAGGAGGAATTACTGGGAATACCGGATTAGATCAATGGACAAGTAGGGGTTTGAGGAGGTAGCAGTGAAATTATGTATTCAGTCTCTATTTTCTATCTCCCTCTCGCGAGGATTATGTGCGGATGTTTTGTGTATCAACACCAAAGGTCAAAGAAAATATAGGGACGGGGGATAGAAATAACACACTGTTATCTATACACAGTGATGGTAGTAAAAGGGTAGGGACGTAATTAAAGCAAACAACGGCTCATATAATCACAAAAACGATGCAAAAGGGTGTGTAGTAAGACAGTCCCGTGACCCCGGATATTTTTTGGAAACTCCCGCCAACGCCATAACCCCGTCATGTCAAGCCATCATTAGAAGGAAGCCTGTTATATATACACCAGGCGTGTAGAAAGAAAAAAGAAACAAAAAAGGACAAAACAATTAAGGAGGAAAATTGGTATCATATCTATGCAGAAGTGGGTGGAACAACAATGCTGCCGGGATCATCGCTTCCCCAGCCAGCATCGAGCTTCTCTCTCCACTCGGCAGCCATACTGAGGGAGACATTGCTTCCTCCACAAACGACAACGACAACTCTGGTCTGGGGTCCAAAGTTGGGAATGAGCTGCTGAAGGAATGTCTTGTTTATTCCTGGAACGACTGTCTCTCCGTTTGTGGCTGGTGCGCTACCCTCAGAACTGAGCTTGACTTTCTTTGCGGGCGGCACATCGGTTTCGGGTTGGTGATGGGGTCCAAAGGCAGCCTCAACAGAGACACCACAAGCAAGTTCAACAAGGATCTTCTCATCTTCTGCCAGGCGAAGGCATCCACGGGCTGCGTCCGCATCCGAGAGAACGAGGGAGTGAGTCTTGATGCCCTTGGGGGGAGAATTGTAGTAGTCCCAAGTCTTTTGGGATATGCGGAGGACACCGAGTGAAGAGGCGGCCGATGAGATCTTTGGGAGGGATGTAAGGGAACCCTTTTCGATGGATGCGGCGAGGGAATGAGCACCGCGGGTCTCTGTGGCAATGATATGGATGTTGTCGTCACTGGTGGAGGCGGTAGTTGCGGATGTTGTACCGTTGGTAGAAGCGTTGTTGGCAGAAGCTTCGAGCATAGGAGCCTGGCGCTCAATCCCCATAATGAGGCCATTCATGAGGCCACCACCGCCCACGGAGCAGACGATAGCATCGCAAGGAAGCGCCTTATGGAGACAAGGGTCGTTCTCCTCAGCCGGAGGTAGTTGGTATGCGAGTTCATCTGACATGCTGCTGACGCCTTCCCAGATTTGCTGGCGGTCAAAGGGGTGTAATTCGATGGCGACAACCTCAGTGCCGCCAGGGGTTGGGTGGTCACTAAGCTCTTTCATCATCTCACGCATGCGAACAGCTGCTTCGTCCAGGTTGACTCCGTGCTGGACGACACGGGCACCAGCCTGCTGCAACTTCTTGACCATGACCGGCTTGGTGTTGAGGGGCACAGTAACGGTGCAAGGGTAGCTGAGGGCAGAGGCTGCAAATGCAGCTCCCAACCCAGCATTTCCAGCTGAGGGGATGAAGAAGTGCAACCGTTTGCCCTTGTTTGCCGGGTCTGCAGCATGGCTACGGACAAGATTTCCAATGCCGCGAGACTTGAAAGAGCCGCTGGGCTGGAGGTTGTCAAGTTTGAGGAAGACTCGGCTGTATATGACCAATCAATTAGTCTCTGTCTATTTGTTTGTTTGTTTGTTTGTAGACCCGGTATGCAGGATTCGTACCATCCGGCAGCTTTGGACAGACTGGTGGACTCAATCAAAGGAGTCTCAATCCATGGCAAGCGCAGACGCTGCTGCTTCTTGGGCTCCTCGATGCTTCCCATTGCGGCGGACGGAGTGATATCTGGTTGAACAGAGATACCAACAGCAACGAAAGAATATTGGAAAGAAAGCAGACTAGACGGAGGACAGGTCTCAAAAGAATAAAAATAATAAAAATAATAAAAAGTCTGGTATGGACCGTCCGGGCGCTGGTATGTATAAATGTAAAACCTTCAAGGTAGATATCCGGGCGGGAAACGGGATACTGTCATCAACTCGAACAAACTTTGGTACGGGAAGTGGCAGAAGTGGATAAGGATGCGACAGCGGAAGCCCTGGAACTCCGCCTCACGAACAAGACAGAATCCCGGGGCCGGCGGGAGCTTCTTCTTATACAGCCAGACTCCGTACTTCTCCAACTTCTCCAACTTTTGCCATCTTCCAGATTTTTTCAAACCCCCCATCGCGTCCCCAGGGTGCCGGCCACCCCCTAACGGCCGGGAGCGCTAGATCGAGCAAACTCTGGCCAGGGAAGCTCGGGGATTTAGGCACAAGCCCAGCGTCCAGCCATGCATGGCCAACCAGGAAGATGCCGGCATATCAAAAGGAAAAAGCGATGCCCCTTTGCTTCTTCGCCGCAAGCCTCTGCTGCCGTCTGGATATACTTAATAACAACATCGAGCTCTATCGCCGCCATCGTCATCGCTCTCGCCGTGTTATTTTATTATTATTTGTTTTTCTTTTCTTTTCCTTTTTTTTTTTCTCACCAGCGTCTGTGAGTGCTGACATAAGCTGCGCAAGATCCAGGCACGCCCCACAGTTTGCGTTTCCCGAGGGCCCAGCCAAGTTTCCCGCGGGGTACCGAGGGGCAGTTTCCCGGGCACGTGTTTTGCCTTACATTCGGCCGAAGCGAGCACGGAAAAAAGATGGCTTCGATATATAAAGCCGTTGATGGCGAGTTTTGATATATCGGCTGGATATTACTGACGGTTCGCGAGGGGCCGACAGGCATATAGAGACACACGTAAGGATGTGGCATATATCGATGTTCATGCTCAAGATAAGCAGATAGCTTTCAGGACGGCGGACGCAACAGGACCGCGAGATCCAGGCCAAACCGCCGATATCATCCCCAATCCGAGATCCTCAGCAAGATCGCTCTGTCGGAGAATACTTTGCGCGTCGTCTACCCCGTACCCCGTAAGCTGCTGGGCGTGGTCAGATGGGTGCCTGGGGGGGCGGCTGATTGCCCAGTCCAGGCGCCCTCTCGTAGTCGATCATGGAGAAACGGGATGGAGGGCCTTGAGGACGAATCGCCGAGTCGGTCAAAACGACCCAGTGGCCTTCCTTGTTGTCCCTTGCTCTTAGCACGGCCCATCCAGCTCGCAGTAACATGTAACGTTGAGACTATTACGTGCATCTTGCTTGCTTGCTTGTTTTTCTTCTGCATCCTTCTTCCCGGCTGGACTCGGGCGCGGCTACCGATGTCCAGATCTGGTCCTTTGCACTGCATGGATGTAATAATGGGGACGTGTGACCTGGCAATTTTTGCTTCTTCATTTCTCCAAATCGTCTTTCTTCATTCTTGTTTCTTCTCCTTTTACTTCTTTGTCCTTTTTCTAGTCAGCTGATCCATATAATGCACACCGTCGCCCATGGGCGGATGATAGGATTAGCCGAAGTCTAGATCAGACGGTCTCGGTAATGTACCACAGCTGTCAATTGGGGCTTTGTAGGGGGCTTGTTGGCTCCGTAGATAGACCAAATACTCTGTACATTTGCCGGCTTTCCTCTGAGACGGAGATGGTCAAGCAACGTCGAACCATGTCAGCACATGATATAAATAGAATACGCGTATTGGATGGGCTGCCGGCTGTTTTCAGCTGGGGTTGATCTCGAACATAAGCCCCGGGGATTTTGTTGGGCTCTTTCTGCTTACCTGGTGGTCTCTTCAACCCCCGACCGGTCTCTCTGTCTCAGCAGAAAAACACTGGGGGACATGCGAGATGAATTTCTCGTCATGTGGAGGAGTGGTTGCGGGATGAACGTCCAAGGGCCGGCGGGTAGGGCCGAGCGAATCTGCTGTCTCGTATCTTGGTTTAAGCAGTCTTTTAGCTCGGACTATTGGATCGCCTCTTTAGATAGTCCTGGGGGTGGCATTTGGATCTGGCTGACCGTCACACTCAAGTATGGGGCGTACTTCATCTGTGGCTTTCAGGGTAAGACGTGAGGCCTTGACGTTGGGGTTGGTGATGGTCACCTTAGGTAGTTTAGTTGTCACATGAGCAGGTTAACCATTGGGTGCAAAATTATATAATTGCGGCTCTCTATAGGCTTTAATATCTATCGTACAGCAGTCAATAACACTCTAAGCGTACAGATATACATACATACAAGAGGTTCTAACAAGAAGATCTAGGGCAATCCCCATTCCGTTATGAGATGCATCATTCTTCGCTCAACAGCGGTGGGAATAGCGTCCCTGCCTGCCCTTTTCCTAGCGGCACCCTGGGCGTCCCATAGTCAGGATCAGCCCCATACTTTGTGGCAGCATATGACCGCTTGCTGAGGTTTTCCTCTACACCGAGCATGTCGAGTAGCTTCTTAGCCTTCTCGGGCATGAAAGGCTGCAGGAGGATGCCGGCAATGCGGAGAGACTCGGTTGCATTGTAGATTACTCCAACCAACTGGTCGTGTGCCGTCGGGTCAGTGCCCGCCTCCTTTGCGAGGTTCCACGGTCCAGTGCTTTGGACATATCTATTTGTCTACACCGTCATTCTTGTTAGACTTGCAATGCACCCGGCTAGAAATAGTCATCATAATCGGTGGGAGGGTCGGAAATGACAACTCACCTGGTCAATGATCTTCACTATCTCCTCCAGCGCGCGGCGAGGGTTCAATTCATTCATCTGGTTGGATACAAGGCCTGGGACCTTCTCCAGAAATTCCATGTGCTCAATTTCAGATGGATCTTTGGCTCTTCTGCTGCCCTGCCCATTCGTCATCTTAACAACGCTCTCTCTTACATTCCATCCTTTGCCTCGCATCACCCGACTACAAAGATTGCCTAGCCCGCCTTGCAGGATGTTTTTATAGTCTCGTACGATATACGAATTATCGTAATCCGTATCGCTAGCAAGACCCCCGTTCATAGCCAAGTAAAACCTCATCGGGTCGACACCGTATCGTGCCATGGCAAACATTGGGTTGACCACGTTACCGGTAGATTTGGACATTTTCGAGTGGTTCATCGTCCAATGTGCGTGTGTCAAGATGGTCCGGGGTAATGGCAGGTCCAGTGCCATCAGGAAAGCTGGCCAGTAAATACAATGGAACCTAAATGGTATTAGTTGACATCTATGAGTATTAAAAGCTTTCGTGCGAATAGCGCACCTCGTGATATCTTTGCCCACGACATGGACATCTGCAGGCCATATCGACTCTTGCTCGCGGCCGGGGGTGAAAGGGTATCCTGCGTAGGTGATATAGTTGACCAAAGCGTCCAACCAAACATATATGGTTTGTGTCGTATCTCCAGGGACGGGGATCCCCCATGAGAGCCGGTCGACGGGACGAGAAATAGACAGATCCTGGAGTCCAGACGCAACATTCTGTACTATACTATCCATATACACCTTTGGCTGAATGAATTTTGGATTCTTACGGTAATGCTCTAGTAATCGATCTTGAAATGCGGACAGTTTGAAATGGTAGTTCGTTTCCTGGGAAAATTTTACCTCTTTTCCTGTTTCAATTGAGGCCTTAACAGCAGAGTCAGCATCTACCCCATCAAAGGAGCAAGTTTATATTTACCATCATTTTCCGCCCAGTTGCTGGATCAAGTGTTGAATGTACGGCAGAGGCTGGATAGAACGTCTCGTCGCTAACAGAGTACCAGCCTTCATGCTTGCCTTCATAGATATAACCACGGTGGTTAAGGTTTTCCTAAAACAACGTTGGTAAAAGGGCCCAGGGAGATTCGAAAAGGAGTATCCATACCCAAAAGAACTGTACAGCAGCTTTATGCGCCGAATCAGTTGTTCTGATGAAGTGGTCATGGCTCGCATTTGCTTCTCTGGCCAGTACCTGCGAGATATTAGTCTCTCCACAGCCGCATGTATATTGCGCATGTTGAGTTATAGCCGGACCTTGAATGTTTCGCAATTCCTATCGCAAAGCGCCTGAGGTTCCAATCCATTCTGAAGCGCAGCTTGTTGAATCTGCAACTGACGTATTAACCACCTTGTTCCTCCACATTATCATATATGTTATCAACTCGCACCTTCATTCCATGCTCGTCAGTCCCCGTCAGGAGCTTCGCATCGCCGTTACCAAGGAGGACCTGCCATCGTTTGAGTATATCGGCGATAAGGATAGTATAAAGGTGGCCAATATGTGGTGCTGTTCACAAAAATTAGCTATTAGTACCTCACAAAGCCTTTAATCCGTAATCCTACCTGCATTGACGTAGAATATAGGCGTTGTGACATAGTATGGCTTTGGTTTTGTCCCCGGCGTTGCTTCGGTAGTATATCCGCGATTAAGAGGCTGCCAGGGGGTTCTGATCTGTCGACATGAGCCGCATATCCAAAAGTTTGGCTGTGTTTTCCTGAATCTCAAGCTCTGCGAGAATGTCCGGAGTTCAGCTTTCAACATTGTGGCTCATAAAGCCCGGATTCGCTCCTCTGGATGGTCAGAGTAATCGCTCTGGAGAGTTTGCGCATAAGTTTTTGGAATAAATATTTTGCCGATGATGGTCCAAGCTCCTGACACTAAAAATATTCGTTATCAATGAAATTCAGATACATCAAACTTCATTCAACCCGCACTGCTTTGGCTAGCAGGTATTATTATTTTGTTTCATTTAAGATATGGGATTTATTTCTTACTGCAACATAATTCACTCATCTATATATCTCTATATATAATAATAATACCTTCTGTTCTACAGCAAAGCGTCCCAGAAACTAGGCACCATGACCGCCGCGATTCAAGAAGATGTCCTTACAAAAGTCTCAACAGATGGTGAGAGCTCAGCTAACATCAGTTTATTTATTAATCGCCTGCTAAATATATTGTGCCAGCGACCACAAATTTTGTTCAGTCCTACTACTCCGCCCTTGATAACGCCCGGTCAACGCTCTCCACTTTCTACGCTCCCACAGTAACCAATCTTCTATTTAACGGCAATATAGTAGCCGACGGTGCTTCTGTTCAAGATATATTTGTCAACCAGCTGCCTCCTACACACTACGAAGTCCAGTCGTATGATTGCCAGGTCCTCAACCCGAATTACCCAGCCATTCCGCCCGCCACCACGGACAATGTGGCTAGTCCCTTTGGATCCAACGCAAATCGCAATACCTCAGATCCAGCGAAGAATATGTCAATATTAGTTATCGTGAGCGGTTATGTGAAATTTGGAGAGGGAAAGGAAACTTGGGATTCACCAAATCGAGGGTTCAGCGAGACTTTTGTCCTGATTCCAAACCCGCAAGCTTCCAGCGGGCCCAAAGCACGGGGGAAACAGTGGTTAATACAGAGTCAGAACTTTAGGATTGTTGTTTGATGGGTTTAAGGGCTCAGATAACCACTTAGGCGCTTTCTACCACCTGCCCGATTTCGCTGCAAAAGTTGCTATCAAGCCGCTCGGTTTATCCAAGGGCTAGTTATTGGGTACGACATTACAATACGGTGCAAGGGAAGATATTCCTTCAATCGCCAAACTCCGAACAAGCATTCCCTTAGTCTAATACTACTTTGCCCACCAACATGATACCCACAGAGCTAAGGCCTCATATTGGCTTTTACCCTCTCCAACAACTCTTCTCTTGAAGCCTGCTCATTAGGAAGCAGACCACGCTATTATATGGCAGCTATATCAGCTTCGGACTCCAAGCCCCTATACACTGACACCATTTGGAAATGGAATTTGCATCAGCTTACCACTCGGAGCCACCTCCGTAGCTCGTCAAACGTCCAATATTCAGGATCTACTTGGAGGTTCCGTTAGATGTTGGTAGTAATTATAGAGGCGCGATCGATGCCGGAAAACTTACCTCCAGTTGGATCGGCTTCGGCGGGGAACATTTCACTTCCCCATATACTCCATACTGCAGCAGCTGTCACAAGACCAACAAACCCTAGATAAATTGTTATTTAAATATTATGTATTTTTGCCGGGCACCATCTATTTACCGACAAGTAGGTTCTTTGAGGCGTTAGTACAGTTGTGTAATAATATACTTTGAAGGAGGTCGTACCTTAGACTGCAGAGCTTTGTCCAGCGGCGTGGGCATTGTCTTATTGATATATAACTAGATGGAACAATTTAAAGTATGGGATGGGAGATGAATGGAGGAGAAGGCCACTCTCTATATACTCATCTTCGACATCCCGATCCTTATGGCCAGTTGTTATCAAGCCCCGGGGTTAATGCAGTTGCCTGAACTAACCCCGATCTGGGATCCTAAACGCCTTAGGCGCCTATACAAGCGCCCGTATTCTGATTTGGCGATAAGCCAGGGCTCCACCGTCGCGAAACCCTAATTGAAGTTCGCACACAATCAATATTTTCGACCTTTAGGAAGAACGACTAGCGACAGCGAGGGTCATTCATACGACACCACCCGGCCATTAAACAACGACCGCATACTCGTACTCATCGCCCACCATGCCTTCCGAAGTCTCTGATATCAAGCAGTTCATTGAGATCTGCCGACGGAAGGACGCTTCCTGTATGTGTTGCCCTATATCATGTTGTGTTTTGATATACTGTCCAGTGTCATTCACGAGACATGCTTTATCTGCGTTGGATATAGCAGTTTAGTCAAATGTCATGTTGGCTGATTTTCTTCTCCTTTAGCTGCTCGCATTAAGCGCAACCGCTCTACCCAGCAGATCAAGTTCAAGGTCCGATGCAACCGATTCTTGTACACCCTCATCCTCAGAGACGCCGATAAGGCAGACAAGCTCAAGCAGAGCTTACCACCTGGTACGTTCTATTCGGTATACAACAGTGTAATGAAGGGAAAAGTTAGCGCATCTGTGCCGGTTGAACTGGTTTACTGATGGCTATTTCATTTTTTTAGCCCTGAAAATTATCGATGTCTCCAAGGGTACCAAGAAGAAGTCCACCTAGATATAGAGATTAGGTGAATTGAGTGGTGGTGCCGTCGAATAAAAAAAAGAAAAAGAATATAATGCGGGAGGGCATGATTTTACATCGGGAGGATTGGATGGATGAAAGCGTGAAAAGGTCCAGCACACAATCCAAGGAGATTCGTTGTGCATTGGCGAAGCCAATTGATGTAATTACAGCCGAAAACACGCCATAACCGCGTCTCCGATCCCGAATTGTCTCATTCTTATGATATCCAATGAATTACTCCCTACCTGAAACTTACGGCCAGGGCTTTATCCACAAGCATATCCATACTACACTCTTTGCATGCAGCACAGCATATCATATAAATGGCCTACTACGAGCTCTCGATGAGGTATTACATGTTAATGAATAGGGCCAGCATCGTGTGTTAGGGGCTGTAAAAAGTACGTCATCAGTTTACTCAACTTTTCAAGGAGTAATGCCGAACCGATCAGTACAGCAGCTTGCTAGATGAAGCTATACATTCACAACTCGACTGAGGGACTCTCAAATCTCAAATTCTAAAGCCCAAATTATGCTCAGTTATAAGGTAGCTCTCTATATGCATCTATTCCGTAATGCTTCATCCATGCCTGCAGTTCCCCTGAGTCTTCTAGACTGTACTTCCTTAATTCCAATTCCCCAAAGACATTCGGCTCATCCGATACAGCAGTAAAACCAAGGCTCTTGAAAAGAGCCACGCTTCGCTCGTTGCTGGCTGCGATTCTAACCACGAAATATTCGAGTCTCTTAGCTGCTATAATCTCAGATTCTCCTGCTTTCATAGATCCAGTGTGGCCCTGGTATTCAGATAGAATTTGGTCCATATGAGTGACCACATAATTCAAAAAACAGACCAGGCTTGCCCTCCCGAAGCCTCTTCGTTGCAGATGCTTTTCCGCGATCATTAATTCTAGCTCGCCCACGACCACTTCTTCTGGTGCATTTTCCAGTTCCTGGTCATTGCTACCGTGTTCTTCCAACTTCAAGAACAGATTCACGTCTCCTATCATTCGGTCAGAAGCGTCGTCATCCATAGGTTTGATTTTATAAGAGCTCGCGGCTTGGGATGACTCCGAAGCGTCTGCCTCGCCGGAAGCGGTAGACGCCGAGGGTATGGGTTGGCAGGTGATGAATGTCAACTTGTCTGCATCTTGCCTCCAGCTATGTTGCATTTGATACTCTTCTTCTAGAGTAAGGGGTTCTGAGGCTGTAGCTTCTTGTATCTCCTGATATCCTGACATGGATAAGTCAGCGTCAGACTCCAAGCGGTATAACCTCTATAATGAACAGTTTTTATGTTTTGAGAATCTCCAGTGCATCAGAGGAATCATACAGGATCTTTCATCCATTCATGGTATCTTGGAACATGGTGCTTTGAGTATGGCACCAGAAGAACTCTCGAAGAGGACACGCCTATAAAGTATTAGCAGTGAGTTCAAAAACCCTGGCCCCGCTTTAATCGTTCTGAATCAAGCCAAACGGTGTATATTTACATGTATTCTCATTTATGAGCATTTTGTGTCGCTTTTCCAGTAGCTTTTCGTGGGATATATTAGGCCATATGTTAGGGACGACGTTGAAAAAGAAGTAATATAACTAACTAGTTAGTTGGTTGTGGCTAACTTTGGGCAACTAGTGAATTTGATAGTTGGGCGTTAGAACCCTAACGAGCAGAAAAACTACAGGCTTTCTACTGGATAACTAGTCAGTGGATTGCAATACATCCGAGCAAAGCATTTCTGCTTCGTTACTATATTCCAGTGTGGAAAGCTCTAAATTAATATGTCGCTTGGAGTTGCATGTATTGTTTTTAGAGGCGCTTGCTAGGCAAAATCATCAATATTCATGACGCATCAGGCATTTCTTCCTCCTTTTCAGTGGTACCGGCTTTTGTTACAGTACCAAACTTGACGACCTCGACGGCCAGAGTCTCTGTATCTAGTAGAACTATCTCTCCGGTTTCGTGGAACTTGGGCAGGGCTATTAGTCTGACTTTTGTGATGCTGTCCTCGTCAGACCCCCAGTCACCACCTTCGATAATAGTAGATTGGAAGCGTGGCTGATTCCCTGTGAAGAATACATGCGGACACGATTGTATGACAAATGGATCTTTGTCCTGGTACGGATAGCACCCTGGATCGACGGTTAGCAAGGAGCCTGCTGCATGGTGGGCGCTATGTGATGGAGACTTACATATAGTGTCGGGCGCAGTCGGGACACCGCAGCGCCATTTAAGCAAGTGTTCCATCAGCTTAAGCCGCGCACCATTCTCTATATCTTCAACTTCGTCGTCCTCTAATTCTTCAAGATTGACGTATCGGAGAACATCATCGACATTCTGCCCACTAGTACCCCAAAACCTCCATCCCTCAATATCTCCTTCCCAAGGGTTTGTGACGTTGTCTAACCAGCCAGGCTCAGATGGTAGGGCCTGTCTTTTGGGTGCTATGGGAGCACAGTATATTTTCGACCGAGGAAGCATAGCGGTGTGAATTTCCTGCTGTGGCAGAGAGAAGTTTGCCGGGTCCGTCTCACCCGGCATCAGAGTCACGGGGATACTTGGAAGTATATCAGAGAGAAAGCTGTCAAAAAGAGTAATTGGCGAGGCGTTGTAAGCCGATGCATCGTAGCCATACTTTTTTGGCCGCTTTTCCGAATTAGTAGCATCATTGACGGTAGAGGCAGCTTTGGCCCCCAGGGAGTTTCCCGCGATTATAAGGCGTGAAATCTGGGAGGGATTGGTGGCGATGTAATCATCCGTGCTGGGGATGGTTCCGGTATAACCAAGGAGGTAGTCCGCGAGGAGGGACAGGGCCACTGTATCCCCAGAAGTGCCAGTAATGCCCAACCCACTGACGAATGCAATTTTCTTGCTCTTTCCAGATCCACTGCTACCCGCTTCTAGAGCACTGTGTTTGCGCTTTGCCGGTACACCAACATCTGTAGTAGGTTCCTGCTCTCTCTCCCATCGCGCAGGCTGTGGGGGTATATCCGGGACCTTGATATCAACCACTTCAAATTGACCGTCCGCGTTCTCTGTCCCGAGGACTGCAACGACAACTCCGGTGACTAGGAAGGTAGATTGCAGTAGACTCCCTGTAAGCACCAGTCTTCCCGATTCATCCTCCACCATTGTCTGGGTGGGTTTTTTGCTGTTGGGATCGTTATATGTCTTTTGTGGTACGGGGGCTGCAGTCCAGTTCTAGCGATTTAAAAGTAGCAGTCAGCATAAGCCACAATTGTTCACTGCTGCAAGATGGAGCACGCATACCTCTTTAGAGATGTCGTCCATGATACTGGGTTTTAACGGAAGATCCATGTAAACCGTCCCCACGATCCACGACAATTTACCCTGGCGGACATCGAGCACTCGATCAACCCTTCGCGCATACTCTCCGGCAATCTAACCGACATAAAACAGAAGATCAGCATCTTCTTTCGAGTAGCTACAGTCCGAGCCCAAGTCCATGTTGCTGCTCATGTTGCTTTGAACCTACTTTTAGATGGGTATGGGACCGAGCTCTGCTGCGCTCAACCGGGAATCACACGTACATTATAGCCTTCCCAGGCGGCCTTTGCAACCTCCGCAACCGCCGGCTTGAGTCTTGTCAGCCGTAGGAAGTAGATGTCCGAGTATTGCTGCTGGTAGTGTCTTGCTGCGCCGGGAGCCAACCGGAATGTGCCCATGGGATTGTATAACGAGGTTTCACGGAACTGGGTCTCGGGAGAGTCATCGTCACTGCAGAAGAGTGTCAGTAAGAGAGTCGCCAAACGGCTTGGGCTTGAGGTCGAGAGTGAAGAAGACCGACTTACAGCGGCGGGCAGAGGAAGGCCTCCGCGGGGTCCTCCATGGCCATGTATGAGGCCAATCGCAGCAAACCCACCAAGAACTATCTCCCTTTGCGCTGTATCAGCTTCTCAGCCCCCGTCTTGGTCCTTAGCAACGCTCTTCTGCTGCGGTCTCAGCTACTTTAACCATCAGCCAGCCGGCGCTTTTTTTCATCTTCAAGCTCGACGCGCAAAAAGAACGCGAACTCCATTTAAGTTCCAATATGCCGCAGTCACGTGGACGTTCACTGTGTTAATTCACGACTTCAACTTCGCGACTTCGCGACGTCGAGCAGCTTTTAGTATTCACTCGGTGGCCTCGACGGGCTATAAACTCATTGCTGGACTCTCTACAGGCCTTTCCTTTCCTTTTTTCTCCATCTACTGTCTGCTTAGGGCGCAAACTGGCCATCTGTCAAAAGATAACTTCATCCCGTGGATTGGTGGATTGGTATAACTAGTTAACTACTTTGGCCGCACCAGCCTGACCGATGAATATGGCCCCTGTTATACAAGATATACTCCCGGCCTTTATAGAGGACTGCATCTGGCTACTCCCGCCCCAAATCAGAGCACGATATTGCGGCGCACCCCAGCTGTCCCAGCCTTCAAACTCTTTGACAACTCACCCTACCTCACGGCGGAGTCAATCGATTGGTCTAGAGAAATGGACACCACCTCTTCTCAAATACCGGTGATGATTATGCCCTCGGACGAGTCGATTCTGCAATTTCGAGGCACAACAGAAGTGGTTAGACAACCTCGCATATCAGAGTCAGAACATTGAGGAAGCGTGTATAGGGCTCAGGATTAAGAATAGCGCCCTCCCCCGAATATGGGAGATGCGGCCAAGCTTTACATTCAAATTCTAGAGAAGATTCTCTTGGGAGTTGCCTAGATCAGAGCAGGAGACTTACTGACTGCAGAAACAGACTGGTGACAGAAAGGCTGCTTAGCCAGCTCTACGGCATTTCAATCGAGGATTCTAGTATGATCCCTGTTTGCAAGGAGTCTAGAGTCCTTGTCAAGATTGAAGAAATCATAACTTACAACTGGCACAAGCACACGCAGTAATAGGCGGTTTTCCCCACGATTCACTCTCTCCAGAACAGCAGGCATAGCAGCTAGGCTAACGATTCAACAAGTGGCCCAACATGTCAGGA